TTTTTTTTGAGGTGGAGTTTCACTCTTCTTGCCCAGGCTGCAGTGCAATGGTATGGCTCACTGCAGCCTCTGCCTCCCGGGTTCAAGCGATTCTCCTGCCTCAGCTTCCCGAGTAGCTGGCATTACAGGCGTGCACCACCATGCCCAGCTAATTTTTTGTATTTTTAGTAGAGATAGGGTTTCACCACGTTGGCCAGGCTGGTCTCGAACTCCTAACTTCAAGTGATCTGCCTGCCTTAGCCTCCCAAAGTGCTGGGATTACAGGCGTGAGCCACCATGCCTGGCCCTAAAATATCCTTTTAATAAAAGAAATTACAGCCAGTTGTGTTGGCTCATGCTTGTAATCCCAGCACTTTGGGAGCTGAGGTGGGTGGATCACTTGAAGTCAGGAGTTTGAGATCTGCCTGGCCAACATGGTGAAACCCTTTACAAAAAAAGCCCAGAAAGTTAGCCAGGTGTGGTCGCACCCACCTATAGTGCCAGCTACTCAGGAGAGTGAGGCAGGAGAATTGATTGAACTCGGGAAGCAGAGGTTGCAGTGAGCAGAGATTATGCCACTGTACTCCAGCCTGAGCAACAGAGTGAGACTCAAAAAAAAAGAAATTATGGTAGACTTTCTTCAATTATGCTGCTTCCTATCTACTGCTCAATCCCTGATGTTTTCATACAAATGGCCTAGGAATTTCTGTTAGGGTACTTTTATTTTTCCTCCAAGTAGAATTGATCTGTGTCGCTCTGATGAAAATATTATTATTTTTAGAGATGAGGGTCTCGCTATGTTGCCCAGGCTGGCCTTGAACTCCTGGACTAAAAGCAATCCTCCTGCTTCAGCCTCTTGAGTAGCTGGGACCATAGGCATGCACAGCCATGCCCAGCTGATGGAATTTTTAAAGTTTTAAAGTCAGTTCTGAGGGGGGAAAACTGCTAACTGACAGAGAAATTTCTTCTCCAGCCTCTGGCTTGTTGGGCAGTTCTTACCCTGTACCTGCTGTTTCTGGTAGTCTTCAGTCAGATGGAAAAAGTCTGCAAAGGGGCATGTCCTGTCCTTCTTGAAGCCTGTTTTAAGCCCTTCTGATTTTTATAAAATTAGCGAGACCTTTCCTAATTAAATTACCACCCTGCTACCTGCCATACCATCCTATACTCATGAGCTGGCATTTTCACTTTCCTGGAGATTGTTTTCCTTATTTAAAACACTAAAAAATTTGTTTATATTTTAAGCTATTATTTTTAAGAGCCAAGGTTTCACTTTGTTGCCCAGGTTGGTCTCAAACTCCTGGACTGAAGTAGTTCTCCCACTTTGGCCTCCCAAGGTGCTAGTGTTACAGGCATGAGCCACCGTGCCAGGCCTGTAAATATTTTCTCTCTGAAGCTACTTTAGATGTTTTAGTATGAGGTTGGGACCATTCTTTTGTTATAGTGACTGGATGTATTTATAGTGACTGGATGTATTTAGTGTTTGGATATTTTTTAGTGATTGGATATATTTATAGTGATTGGATATATTTATGGTGATTGGATTTTTTTTAGTGATTGGATATATTTGTAGTGATTGGATGTTTTCAGTGATTGGGTTTTTCATTCATTCTTTTTTTTTTCTTTTCCGAGACAGAGTCTTGCTCTGTCACCTAGGCTGCAGTGAAGTGGAACGATCTTGGCTCACTGCAACCTCCTTCTCCTAGGTTCAAGTGGTTCTCCTGAGTCAGCCTCCTGTGTAGTTGGGACTACAGGTGTGTGCCACCATGCCCAGCTATTTTTTGTATTTTTAGTAGAGATGAGGTTTCACTATGTTGGCCAGGCTGGTCTCAAACTTCTGATCTCAAGTGATCTGCCTGCTTTGGCCTCCTGAAGTGCTGGGATTACAGGCATGAGCCACTGTGCCCGGCCAGGACATTTTTTAATGATTGTATGTATTTATGTTTTTGAGCTCATTTTGTTTGGTGTCAGAAAGTTGATGATGGTTATTGGTTTTGTAAAATCCCAGAACACACTGACAAACATTTATTGAGCACTTGCTATGTTTTTAGTGCTTATGATGTGAACGATATATGAGAAGAACCTGTAAGGCATAAAATAAAATTTCTGATACAATTGCAAACAAATGCATCCTTTTATAAGAATAACTTGAAAATGTGAAAAAATGGCTATCACAAATATCCTTTCCTGTTGTTTTTCTTTTTTCCTGTTTTTCTCTCCTTTTCTCCATTTGGATTGGGCTTCAAGACATAGATGAGTGTGAAGTTTCTGGCCTGTGCAGGCATGGAGGGCGATGCGTGAACACTCCTGGGAGCTTTGAATGTTACTGTATGGATGGATACTTGCTGAGGAATGGGTCTGAGCCTTTCCACCCGACCATCGATGCCACATCATGCACAGGTGGGTTTCTGCCAACAAATGCAGCATCTCAAGGTGAAATTCTGCTGACGGTGATTTTCTTCTGCTCCAAGCCTGTGTTGGGGATATGGGTGGAGGTGATCTGATCCTTTGCACATTTTCTACAACCTGTGGAGTAAAGCAAATAACAACAATCAAGTTAGAGGGGGCCATGTTAAAAAGCTAAAATTAATCCCAGGAGCTGTGGCTCATGCCTGTAATCTCAGCACTTTGGAAGGCTGAGGTGGGTGGATCACTTGAAGACAGGAGTTCGAGACCAGCCTGGCCAACATGGTGAAACCTTGTCTCTACTAAACATACAAAAATTAGCCGGGCATGGTTGCACATGCCTATAATCCCAGCTACTTGGGAGTCTGAGGCACAAGAATTTCTTGAACCTGGGAGACGGAGGTTGCCTTGAAATGAGATCATGCCATTGCACTCCACCCTGGGCGA